GCTCTACCACTGAGCCATCTTCCCAGCCCCTCCATGAGATTCTTATCTCTCATTAACCTCCAGAAAAGTAGAAGTGGTGCTTTGGCACAAAGTGGTAGAGCATGAGCCTTGAACACAAGAGCTCAGGGACAATGCCCAGTCCTTGAGTTCAAGCCCCATAACTGACAAAACAAAAACAAAGTTTAAATGACAGCAGGCATTCTTCTAGGATTACCCAAATATTAAGTGAGTAGTTGAAGCCAGGGCTGTATTGCCAATTTTGTCCTCCTCTCACTGTGTGTGTTACACCTTGTGTGTCACCCAAGCTTCAGAAATGTTACCTACATCATCCTCTTTTTTTCATTATTGGGAAATCCTCTTTCTTGCTCTGGATAATATTAAAAATAACTCTTCTAGCCCTTCCTCCTACTTCCAGCTACCAGAAAGCCAAGCTGGCAATTTCTCTTCACCTTCACCCTTGTGCCAGACCCAGGCACGTGATCCAAGATCAACCCCTGACTCCAATTCCTCAGGTTACAAGAGCTATTTTGGGCAGTAGAGACCATGTATTCCCTTCCTCCCCTTCTCTGCATGGTATCCTAGCTTAGCCCTTGGAAGGACCATCATACCCAATAGCTAAGTGAGTATGTCCCAACACCCTTACCTATCTGACCCTCAGCTACCTTCAGTTTCTATTTCAGCCTCTTTTTCTCTTCACCCATCATCAAAAATGCTTCTTCCAGGGCTGGGAAGGTGACTCAGTGGTAGAGTACTTGCCTTGCATGCATATGGCCTTGGGTTCAATTCCTTAGCGTCACATAAGCAGAAAAAGCCAGAAGTGGCACTGTGGCTCAAGTGGTAGAGCGCTAGCCTTGAGCTGAAGAGCTGAGGGACAGCGCCCAAGCCCTGAGTTCAGGCCCATGACTGACAAAAAAAAAAGAAAAAGAAATATTCTTCTTCCCATGTTTTGAAGACTAGAACTAAAAACAATGCAAGTTATACAGACAGTTACCATCAGAAAGTTAAAATTTTCAAGTGCCACTGGCTTCTGCCTATAAACCTAGCTACTCAGGAGGCTGAAATTTGAGGATCATGGTTTAAAAGCCAGCCAGCCTATCAGCCTATCTGCCTACCTGGGCAGGAAAGTCAGAAGGTGTAGGTAAAGTAGTAGAGCCCCAGCTTTAGGCAGAAAAAGCTAAGACATAAGGCTGGGAAAGTGGCTTAGTGGTACGGTGCTTGTCTGGCATGCATGAAGCCCTAAGTACCATATATACACACAGAAAAGCCAGCAGTGGTACTGTGGCTCAAGTGGTAGAGTGCTAGCCTCGAACAAGAGAAGCTCAGGGACAATGCTTTTTCCCTGAATTCAAGCCTCAGGACTGGTAAACAAAACAAAACAAAATAAACTAAGACACAGCACCCAGGAACTGAATTCAAGCCCCACACAAAAAAGAAAGCTTTTTTGTTTGTTTGTTTTGTCGGTCATGGGTCTTGAACTCTGGACCTGGGCATTGCCCCTGAGCTCTTCTGCTCAAGGCTAGCGCTCTACCACTTAAACTACAGTGCCACTTCCAGTTTTCTGGTGGTTAATTGGACATAAAAGAGTCTCACTTACTCTCCTGGCTTTGAACCGCAATCCTCAGATCTTAGCCTCCTGAGTAACTAGGTTTACAGTCCTGAGCCACTGATGCCCAGCTTATTATTTTTAATCCTGGCTGGGGGTGTGGCTCAGTAATAGAGTACTTACCTTACAAATACAAGATCCAGAGATTAAATTTTAGCACTGCAGCAACACAGCCTACCTAGTGAAATCTGACTTAAATATACCAAAGCAAATAAACAAACAAAAAATTCCAAACAAATAGTAGATGACTCATAGCTGTGAGATCTGAGGATTTAGGTTCCAAGGTAGCCAAGGTAAAAAAATTTGTGAGACTCTTATCTCCAATAATCACCAAAGAACCAAAAGTAGAGCTGTAGCTCAAGTAGTAGAATGAACAGAAAAGTGACAGCATCTAGGCCCTAAGTTCAAGTCCCAGTAATCACTCCCCACCCCCCGAGCCCCAAAGACATTGAAGACAAGGATCTACTTGTGCTCCACTCTTTCCTTAATGTATTCTCTTTGAAGGATCCACTTGCTCCCACTCCTACTATTCAAAAAAAAAAAAAATTGGGGGGGGCGGTTGTGGGGCTTGAACTCTGGACTTGGGTGCTGTCCCTGTCCTCTTCAGCTCAAGGCAAGCACTCTACTGCTTGAGCCACAGCCCCACTTCCGGTTTTCTAGTGGTTTATTGGAGATAAGAGTTTCACGGACTTTCCTGCCTGGGCTGGCTTTGAACCGTGATCCTCAGATCTCAGCCTCCTGAGTAGCTAGGATTACAGGCGTAAGCCACCGGCGCCCAGCTTCTTCTTCTTCTTCTTCTAGCTCAAGGTTTGGGTGCAGCCACCTCTACTTTTTTTTTGGGGGGGGGGTCTGGTCATGGGGCCTGAACTCTGGGCCTGG